TTGGATGTCCTTTACGTGACCCATTGCCTACAGTTTGTATTGTATCGCAATGCTAGCTTGTCTATTTTTGCATTTAACGACATTCATAACTGCAAAGTGCGTCAATTTCAGTTTGAAGTCACATTAGCTTCTGGTCTATATAGATTCCTTGCGTGCCCAGTGGAGCCTAACCACCGACAAGTGGGCTCGGCTAGTCGTCGAACATGCCAACTAGTGTTTAATAATTCATTTACGCAATTTATAGCTTGGTTAGAACTTTCGTTTTCTGTTTTCTCTGTTCTGTTTTCTGTTTTCTATTTACTATTTTCTTTGGTTGGTAAGCCGGCCAGGCCGACAACTGGATTCATTGACCCCAGTGGCCATTATGAAAGCATGTCCGATTTACGTACACTCCGAGCCCGCCCATAAATCTGTGCAAAAACTTACTTGGGACAACCTTTGATTTTGATTGGCTTTGGCTGGCTGGCCCACCAGAAGCTCTGATGGCAGGGTGGGGCAGGACATGGCCTGTCCTGCCATTTGAGCTGCATCTCGGTGACCTCGGTGCGTGTGACCACATTGCTGAGCAGATCCATGCCGTTGCCTTTGCCGCCCATGGGCACACGCTTTGGTATGGCATTTGGCATTGTGGTTGCGGCTCTTTTCACACTTTTTCGTTTATATACAATATATATATATATCTAATTTAAAAATTATATATTTTTTTGTCTACGGTGTTTCTGACTAAATGTAAGTGTATAAAAATATTGTTAACTGACACATTTTACAAAGCGCTGTGTTTTATTTTCTTTAGTTATCTAGCTAACTTAGGCACTTTGAAACATGATTTCTCCATTTGTTTGCTTTGCTTCACATTTGTTGTGTTTGGCTGCGTCGTTTCCAAAATAAACAACAACTGCGGAATTTTCTCAGTTGCTATGGCAATTTTTAGTCGGCATTGTTGCATTGTCTAACTGTTGCCTTGGGTGGGCAGGGACCGGTAGATATTTCCGCAAATGCCTCATCTGCGGTATGGATAACCTGGCCAATAAAGTAATTACTTGGAACAGCGTTAGGAAATGCAACCTTAGCAGCAGTGAAAGCGTAATGTTATTTAACAGTCTGTAAAGCTGTTTGAAAAGCAAGCAGTGAAATAGAAATCGCTGGGGTTTGGATTTAGCTAGCATGCATTCGAAGTATTCTCACTAAATACTGTAAAACAATAACAATATACAAACAAATAGGTATTATATACAGCTACAATATAAAAAGAACAGCTGCACGCTTTTAAACTTTAAAACTATATTTATAGCGAGTCACTTATAAAGTTTAAAAACGCGCCATGTTTAGATTTACTGTTGAGTTATTGTACGTCAGTAGCAACAACTGCTTCCATTAGTGTAAAAGCAAGCAGGTCATCCATGAATTCAAAAGCAAGCAGTTGACAAGCAGTTATGTTTCATCTGCCTGTGCTGCTTATTGCACTCATTTCAAACACTGCTTTAACGTCTAAAGCACATATCTATATTGCTAATATGAAAACAATATTATTCTACTTGAATAGTTACGACAAACTCTTAAATAATGAATGTGCAGCTTAGGCGATGATTCGTTCAAGTAGATAACTATTGCATTCGTCATTTACGGCAATTAAGCATTACAATCTCTGCTTCCGTTCCAAGTAAATCTCATCCCAGAAGCGTTTCCATTAATTAGATTCCACTGCCAAAACCTACATATTTGGATATACAATATTGTAGCGCAGCGTATGTCATTTGACCAGCCCTTACAATTTGTGATCGTAGAGGCATGCCCATGGGCAGCAGCGTTTTGTTGTTGAAATTACATGGTCTCACTTTATTGTTTTGCTTATTCATTAACACTGAGACGCTGTGAGTGAGGGCTCTCTCATTGAGCAATGACTCGCCTGTCAACGATGACGTTTGACTTTGTGCCCAAGACGAAGACGAAGACGGCCAGAGTGAGGCAGATTGAGGCGGAGTGAGGCGGAGCGAGGGAGAGGGGCAATCGACTCTTCTTTTTTCATGATGGGGGTGGGTGATAATTGGTGTGTGCGCGTGTGTCGCCGTTTGCTTCTGGTGTCCTTTTGTTTGTACCCCTTTGTGCGGGCTTATAAGATCAGAGGAATGGGCCGAGACGGGTATTCGGATTGGTATTGAGCAAACATCAATAAGTGCCATGACGTTTGACATTTGCAAAGAGGTCTCTCAGTCGCTCACTCACTCACTCACTCACTCGCTCACTCAGTCCCTCAGTCTCTCCCTCCCTCGATCCCTTGTCCATTTCAATGTATTTGTTGGCATTTAAAAGGTTAATGATGCCCACTCGAGCGGCCACACAGGCGATGCCTGGCGACGATGACGATATTGATAATCTTCGACTGCAATTTCCACATCGTTCGGTGTTCGATCATTTGCACTGATAGACACTGGTCGACTGGCTGGGCTGGCTACCTTTCTGCGAAAGGTCCACAGTATGTGTCCCACTGTGTTTGTTGTCAAACAAATCATTTACAGATCTTTCTGCCTTCGCCTCTGCGTGTAGGTGTGAGCTGCAATTTTCCAAAGAAAACCAGACACTCGTTTACAATTGAAGTCGCACTCGAGTTTTGATTAATTTATTGCTCTGCCGGCCACAAGTCGAGGGAAGGTGAAATAAACCATTTAGATAACGGTTGAGCCTCGTGTAGAGAGAACAAAAACAAAACTATTGTGGATTTATAGATTCTGCGGGCTGTTGCGTTTTTTTTCCTCAATTTTTTATGAGTTATTTCTATGACTAGCTGGCGCCATAGAAAAAAATATATATATTTATTTACCAAATTGGTAGTAGACATAAAAAAAATGAAGTAACTGTAAAATTACGTGGGATTAAACTATTGTTGTATTTAAAAAAAGAAACGGTTTGATTTCCAAATGGAACTGGAATTTTATGGGTGTGCCAATATTTTATGATTCTTTCGATAACTGTTGACAAGCACAGGTAACATGTGATATACATATATACATTTGTAAAGTGATACCTTTTCATAGCTAATAAGAATTTTTCGAATTTCTAATTGGTTTGCTGCTTTACTATGGAAGCTTTTAATTGTATTCTTCATCCAAAATCTCTGCTCGAATGAACTATGCAGTTTTTGTTGTTCGTTTTCAATTTAGCTGGCAGCCCTTTCGCATACTGGTTCATCAAATGAGGGGGATATATTAGCTTTTATGCAAGGTATGTCAAAGGATTTGTTTGATTTTCTGTGTGGGCTGATTGTATTTTGCAGTTGGAATATTAATTATGAATATACTTATATATGACTTAGTATTAGGAATTTTTATTCCAGATTTTTAGGTTGTAATCAAATCGCCAAAGGAAGTCTTTATTTCATTTAACTTGTGAACGAGTATTATGCAGTCGCTCGAACATGTTTCTATTGGTTTGCTGGAGTTTTTTTTTTAATCTAAGGTTCAGTGCAGCTCGACTCAATTATGAGAGCTGGCTCTGGTTTCTAAGCTGGGCACTGCCACAAACATTCGCATCAATTATGCATACGCCAACGCATTCGGCATTGGGCATACAGATGCAGTCTACACACAGAGGGAGAGGGAGAGAGAGAGACAGATAGAGAGAAGGAGACTTGGTAACAATTGCCTGCAGCAAGGACTGCTGCTTGTGCATCCTTTTTGCTGGCTTAGCCACAAGTTTACCGCATGGCAAATTCGACGAATTTCCTGCGGTTTTGTAGCATTTCGGTTGGTTGCTTGGCTGGTTGGGTTCAGTTGCAACTTTGATTCTCAAATTGAGGGAATTGAGGGCATTGTTAGGCAGAGTGGGCAGGGCTTGCTTGACCGCAACAGCATTGGTCGAATTCAATTTATTGTAAATGGCAAAAGGATTTGTACAGGGCTCAGGATTTGTGCATCGTTGAAAATCGTTTGCAGCTGTGCTGGGGCCTAATTTTGGAAACAGTTGTCTTTCGAGACGGGGACTACTCTCTCGTTAACATGGCACATCCGCATGTCAAAAATGTCGCACAAAAATCAAAAAATGTCGTCAGAGAAAGAGAGAGGGAGCTGACAGAACAGACAGCCAGAAACAGACAGATAGACAGACAGCCAGAACAGACAGAGAGACGATACGTACCAGGAACCCGACGTGTTCGAGGCCCTCGGCCCAGACCCAGACCCAAGCACAAAACCCAAAGCGAACCAACCAAAACTCAATAGCAAATTAGCAATTCCGATGCGGCCATTTATATTGTTTATTCTTATTGTAGTAGCTATAGTTGTTGTTGTTGTTGTAGTTGTTGTTGTTATTATTGTTACTGTTGCTGCTGTTGACGAACAGACGATCGCGTTTTTATTTTTATTTCATTTTCTATTTGTATGTTCTTTTTTCTTTTTTTTTTTTTTTTTGGTTTTGCTTTTGTTTTCTTTTTTATTTTGTGCGCAACGCTTGAAATAAACGCAGTTTTTTTTTTCCTTTTTTTAAGTTATTCCGCTCTGTAGTTTGAAGCGATCGATGTTCTCTGTTATCAAGTCCCGACCCGAACCTGTGCTCGATCCCGCGGACCGAGCTCAATGCAAATTAGCGCTAAAGTCAGGGAGCATTCGTGCTATTACAATGTCTAATGTCTGATTGACTGAGAGACTGACAGAATGAGGAACTGGCAGACTGACTGACTGACTGACTGACAGGCAGATAGATTGATAAGCTAGAAGTTGACTGTCTGATTGACTAACTGAGAAATTGAGGGGCTGATTGACTGACTGACCGATTGACTGACTAACCGACATACGGACAGACAGACCGAGTGCCTGAGGCAGCGCCATAGCACATTCAGCCTCACCAAAAGTAGTTAAAGAGCCATTTATTTGGCAAATGTTGGTAATCAATAATACCTCAAATATTTGCCGTCATGCAAACTGTCCCAAAAAACAAACCCACAAAGTTTGCGTGCTTTGCATTTCTTATATTTATATATATATATATTTGAGTACGTTATATGGCCTGTCATTAAAAGTCAGCCAAAAATGTTTTGTTATATATATTATAATTTGGGTGCGCTTATTTATTTTGGCCAATTGTGAGAAGTCACTGACGAGTTGTCCATATCAAAGAGGGGGGCGGATTACGTTAGCCGTTCACCGTTCACCGTTCACTGTTCACCGTTAGGCGCCAGCACCTGTGTCGAGGATAAGCATCTAATTTTCACTCTTACTTTCTCTCTCAGCTAGTTCCTGGAACTTGGCAACTGTTGTGGTACCTGCTGCACGTGCAATTCCTGCTGCACTTGTTGTCTGAGCTCTACGGTTTCTTGGGAAAGGTAAATGATATTGGATTGTGCTGATCGTAATCGATCTTGTTCTTAGTTTGTTTTCTCTTTGTTTTTGCTCATAACTCAATTAGCCGGAAAAACTGTTTGGACAATAGAAATTACGTGGGCTGCTGTTGCTGTTGCTGCTGGCCCCTTGAAGTCTCTATTAGAGGCTGACTGAGTTAGTAGCCGGAAGCAATGAAAATGTGTGGAAAGTGTTGTTCCTGCCTCGAATTTACAGCGAACAAGTGTTAAGGATGTGCGTGACAGTCATTATGTGGGATATGAAGATAACGTCACGTAGCAAACCTTATGCTTGGGTTCCAATAAGGACATATATAGGAGAGAGAATAATACGACTGTATTGTACAGTTAGATGCGAACAATGCCCACAATTTGTCAGATAAAGATAACTCGAAGGTAGCCATAAAATAAAAATTCTTGGAGATTTGTAATGCCTAATCGTGTTTGTAGGCGGAAACTCCATATCAATCAGGATACAAATTGAGGGAGAGTTTGCCAGATAACACATGGGAGAGTTTAAAATCAATCTCAATATTTCAGATCTAATAATAAACAAATTAGACGAACATATCAATAATTGATTGATTGATTATTAAGTTAATGTAAATTATTTATTTATATGTTCATCAATATTTATGCAAGTTTTGAGCTCTCTTGAGTTTTTATGTGAAATCTTATTAATATTATTTACGTTCATATATTTTTAATTGAGCAAGTCTTATTGTTGGAGGAAATACTTTTCCTCTCTCTCTCATGCTTTCACATATTAGAGCTCGTAAACAGAAGTTTTCCCAATTAATATCATAAAATCACTAATTTTATAGCTGGTCTCCCTTTGACTCTTCCTACTTTTATGATGCATACAAATTGTGGTTTAATGACGCCCCTTTTATGGAAAGGGATATAGCTATATATCTGCTCATAATGCATATATATATACATACATATATCGCCCGATCTCACTTCATCAAACTTTCAACAGGCATCTGCTTAGTGCTCAATCTATTGTTTTGTTTATTGCATTCGGCATCCCATATTCCACGAGCATTTCAAGCGGCTGCCATAAAAACATAACTATGCAAGAAATTAAACAATCAATGGATTTTTATTTTCGTTTTTTGGGTGGCGAACTGGTTCTCATAATATTTACAGTCTTTTGCCTTTCTTCGGTTTGTGTTCTTTTATGATTATAGCCTGAACTGATTGAAGTTTTGTCAACAAGGTATAATAGTTTTGTTGGCATTGTATGCAGCAGACAGCAGGAGGCGTGGGTAAGGATATAGAGTATAAGTTTATTGATCCGGAAAAATAGAAAACAATTACAAATCAATAAATAAAAATAAACTCAAAATTAAATATTTATAAATTAAATAAATCTCGCAGCTTCTCAGAGACACACCAAATATGGTGAATGGATTCTATTAAATTATATATACTTAATATATATATGAAAGATTCAGCTCATCTATTTTTCCATAGGGTATCTTCTAGTCGCCCAACTCGAGTCTCAGCCTTGTTTTATTTGCTTCGCATCGTAATTTGTGAGTTTATTGATTGAGATTTTGTTTGGGATTTTTGGCCAAAATGCTTTTTAATTATACAAAATAAAAAAGTGGAAAGAGAAGAGGCAATTTTATGGACGCAATGAAAGCTGGTAGCGTGTCATGATTGGGGAATATTCAATGAAATGGGAATATTCGGGTAGGCATAGATAAATTGATGGCGTTGTCAGCAGAAGCGGCACAGGAAGTTGCCTAAAAAAAAAAAAAAGCAACGCAGTAAAGAAAAGGTTGGTAACAAAACATAAACATATATCAATTGAGTTGTCCTGGCCGTGTGCGTTCAGGATGCGCTTAAAAAGAAATCCTTTCCGTTTGCCGCTGGCCAAATGAGTTGGACTTCCGTTGCAGCGCGTGGCCTCAGTTGTCGCCAGCCACGCCCAACAGCCCTAATGCAGTTGTTACAATCTCGTATTAGATACAGAGATGTCTATTTGTATATATATGTATACATATATATCTGTATATATATTTATATATCTGTAGCTGGCAACAACTATGCTAATCGATGCAATGCCAAACGGGGCGAGAGCCAGAGATGGCTTTTGAGAAGGGTGATTGGAGGAGGGGGCCAGGCGGCAGGAGCTGGTGCCTGTCTAACCAAGGCGACGCCATTTGCAGTTTCACACTTTTTTCTAGCCATGGCTCGGACCATTTTTTATGGTCAAGCGTGCCAAATTTGTAAAATGCGTCAGCGACAAGTGTAAAGTAGATGTTGTTGCTGCTGTAGTTGTTGTAGTTGCTGCTTGGCTTGCATAATACCCTATAAATGCCTTTTGGCATCGTTGTCGCGAGCTGCGCGCACACCCCTTTAGAAACTTTCCATAATTTGTGCAATAAATCAAATGAATTTCACTCAAAAACAATCAAAAGCCAAGGCGAGCAGCCAATTATTAATAAGAAACACACAAAAATGCCTCATAGCATGGAGCTGAGCTGAGCTGAGCTGAGCTGAGCCGAGCTGAGCTGTGCTGAGCTATGCTAAGCAATAGCCACTAAAAATCACAGCAGCAACAGCAAATTAAACATATCAATAAAAGTCGGCACGCAAACAAGCGATTGACACGCAAAAACACATTTAAAATTGATTAGCTCGGTCAACAGCGTCGGCCCCGGTGGAATCCAACTGAAACATAGAAGATGTCTAGACGTACAAATGGGCCCGGTGTGACATTTGCCCCTGGGGCACTACAGCTCCATCTCCCTCTCCTTCTCACTCTGTCTGTCTCGCTCTCTCTGGTTTTCTTCATCTGCTCTCTCGCTCTCGCTGTTGCTTCTGTGTCGCGTGCTATGAACAACAATATAAATTTACTTTTGGCCAATTTTCAACATTTGTTAAAAGAGAAATACAAGTGTCTTAGCTGGCTGAAATTCGAATTTCTTATACTCTATACTCATGGTGCAACGATGGAAATAAACCAAAGTGATATGAAGAAAACTGATATGAAATGCTGTCTGATATGAAGCCTTCTCTGGTAATTAAAACCGAATATCAAACTGTAGTCCAAATTGTGGAGAAGCCATGTCTTGATAAGCCTTGATATAAAATTTTGTCGCAGAAATATCAGAATATTTTAAATGCACAGACTTTGTTTTAAGATCAAAATTTCTATATATTTCTATAAGTTCTGGGTTTGTGGTTTAAGTTTTCTCTGTCATTCATATACTTACTACAAATCAAACTGAACAATCTGATGTACTATTCTACAGATTGTAATTTATATAAGCGAACTCCAAAGCTTAGATATTAAACTGTAGACATTTAATTAATGTAATCATTATTATTTAATTTAAATTCCTATTTATAATAGCAAATCTGCCAATAGCTAAGATTTTCTATACAAGTAGAACATTAAGGCAATGTACAATTGTTAAGTAAAAAGCTTCCATATCATCTGATCTCCATAGTATTTTGTTCACTTTCATAGACCCAATTTAAAGTAATATTTGACACTAATACTATACTTCCATTGCAATCTTTTCTAATATTTGTTAACTGTCCAATCAGCTTTTCAAGTCGCTATACCCAAATTTTTAGGGTATTTTAAGATGGAAAACCTTCGCTTGTCTCTAACTGATAAGCAAAAATGTGCGTTGATCGCCGCAAGCAACAAATACAACAAGAGATGTATCGTTAATATATATATATATATATATTTATATAGAATATGCCTACATATATAAATATATGCAGTATACATACATACATATTGTATATATATCTTTATATGTATATATTTAGCCATGTCTGTCGTTTGGTTGCGTTGGCTGTCTCGATTGGGTTTCACTCTCAGTTTCTTGGGCGAAGGGGCATAATTATTGGGTCAGCATTTGGGGTCTACGTGCGTCGTCATAACGGACGCAGCGCAAAACTAATTTTGGAGCCTGGCCCCAACTGGGGGCTATTTCCAGCAAAACGCTGAGCACCTTTTGCTTAAGCTTTTAGTTGATGTTGGCTGTTGCTGCTGCTGTTGCTGCTGCTTCTTCTGCTGTGGCATCTCATGATTTATTAGCTTTGATCAATTTGATGGATATTTCTTTTTTGGCAAAGCGATCAATCGATCCAGGCATACATACATATACATATATATATGTGTAAATCTATATATATATATATATATTTATATGTATAGAGTACTGCTGCAAGTAAGTTGGAGTTTGTGCCTACCTTAAGGGCTTTCCAAAAAATGCTTAAACCAATTTTCACAAAAGCGCGCTTAATTAAACGGAATCTCTGACTGCCTGCCTGCCTGTTGCCTGCTGCCTGCTGCCAGGCTCGCCTGGCTGGCTTTCAGCTCCGTCTGTTCCGTCTACTCCGTCTGCTCCCGCTGTTGCAACAGGCAGCTCCAGTCGAGCTTCAATGGTGGTCGTCGCCCCAGAGACACGATAAACGCGTACAATTGTTTGCACTTAAGATTTTTACACATGATTCAGTAGCCGGTAAGCCCGGCTCTCTGCCACAGACATTTTGCTGGCGATCCATGCGCTTTTGTGTCCTGGCAGTCATGTCTGCATATGTTGCACTGGCACTCAAATCACAGCCATGGCCAGAGCCACTGCCAGAGCCAGAGCTCTCGCTGCAGCGAGTTGCGCGGGGTCCGCTGTTGTTGTTCTATCAGATGCAATATTTGCTAACGAATAAATTGGCATTTCACAAGTTGCCCTGACAGACGACTGCCAACTGCGACTGCCTCTGACTCGGCCAGGCTGCCTTGGTGCCTCGCTGCCTGCCTGCCAGCCTGACTGACTGCCTGACTGACTCCCTGGCTGCGCAAACTTGTTTGCTGGCTGGCCTGCCAGCCTGGCCTCTACCTCTGCCTTCGCCTCTGTCTGTCCGAACATCCGAACATCCCAACATGCATTGCAATCATTTTTGTTGAATCTAAAATTGACGCATCGCGGCTATGACTTCGTCATTCTTCTGCTCTGCAGCAGACTCTACCGTTGCAGCAGCATCAACTACCGTGTTACGCGGCCAGAGCTGAAATGGCCAGCGCGTCGCACATTTTTCGACGACATCTGAATCTGATTAGAGGCTGCGGCCGGAGCCAACTCGTCGTCGTCGTCGTCCAAGTTGAAGTTGACGTTGACGTCCAGCCTCAACAACAGCAGCTAAACTGAACCGCAGGCAACTGCAATTCAAGGAACAGCCAATCTTTCCCTCACTTTCATGCTGCACAGTAGTCGAGCATATGAGTAAATATATTGTTATGGATTGTATTTAAGGAAGTATTAGAGGGTGATGGAGAAGCTCCTTTATTTATTTTTATTATATATATTTTTTTGAATACATATAGATATATATGTACATATGTATTTTTAATATATATTGTATTATTTTTCTTATATATTGTATATAATTTCTTTGCTAAAACTCTAATTTTTTAATGGAAATTTAATTTAATTTAAAAAAAATTGACTTCATTTTAAAATTCAGCAAAATACGATTAAATTTATAAAATATTTCTATTTAATTTTAAAACATTTTTATTAAAAACTTTAAAGTTTATA